GGCAACTCCATTATTTAATGACCTTGATTGGATTCATAAGGAAAACTAAAAGGGAGCTTGTAATAATCTTGACATACTCTGATAAGTGTCCGTTTGATTCCCATACATTAGAAAGAAAATGAGTTTTGACTAGTATTTATAGGAAAATGTATGGTTAAAAAGTTGGGAAAAGTTTTGAGAGAACATGTTGAATATTTTATTGAAAATGATTTTGTAGCAAACCATAAAATAAATTGTATGAATTAATTGAAATTTTTTAACCTTTTCTGATAAATAGATCAAATATTTTATAGTCGGGAAATGGAAGAGATAAAAGAATGAAAACGAAGGACTACCTAACAAAATAGGAAACACGAGTGAGAAGCCTAAAACTGCATGGACCACACTAAATAGTTGACAGTACGTGCATGTACCTACAATTGTCTGAATCTGAGGTCGTACATCGGTGTTCGGTGGTAGTGGTGGTGGATAATAGGGCATAAATCGATTAAGCAGTGCACATCAATGGTGATTTATGATCTTATACATGATTATATGTGATGGTTCATGCATTTCACATGCTCACAACATGGTGGATTGGAATTATTGCCACGAACGTGAATTTGTCACTTTTTTAATCTTCGTCATTTTTTTGAAATTCTGTTACTTTCAACTTAGAAGTTATTGTATTCCTAAAATTAATTTCTGCCATTTTTTTTAGTGTCGGTCACTTATTCTTTTTTTATTTCTTTCACTTTTTGAGCGTTTGTCACTTTTTTTTTGTCACGTTTTTTTTGAATTTGTGTCACATTTTTTTATTACTTTTTGTCATTTTTTTTTGAATTTATGTCACTTTTTTTTAGTATTTTTCAACACTTTTTTTTTCATTTTTTTTAGTGTGCCATTTTTTTATCACTTTTTTGAACGTGTCACTTTCTTTTTTCTTTTTGTAGGATTGATATTTAATAATTCCTTAATAATATTGGTTTAAAGGGAAAATCACGTTATATTCTCCACACGAGATAATAACAGGTTTAAATGAAAAGTTATACTCACTTTTTGAATTTTTGTCTTTTTGGTTTTAAATTTCTATCACTTTTTTTTTTCAATTTGTGTCACCTTTTTTTAGTGTATGTCACTTTCTTTAATGTTTGTCACTTTTTTTTTGAGTGTTTATCACTTTTTTTTATATTTATATTTTTTTTGAATTTGTGTTACTTTTTTTTTAGTGTATATCACTTACTTTGAATTTTCTTCACTTTTTCGAATGTTTGTCACTTTTTAAGCATATATATAAGTCTTTGTCACTTTCTTCGAATTTTTCTATTACTTTTTTTAGAATTTCGAATGTTTGTCACTGTCACTTTTTTGATTTACTATTTCTATCGCTTTTTTTTTTAGTGTTTATTGCTTTTTTAATTATAAGGACACATAAATTATTTAAGACAATTATCGGTATTGAGCGACTACGAATAGCATTACTCCAATTTTATTGATAGTTTTAAAATGTTTAACAGTATTGAGCGACTACGAATAGCATTACTCCAATTTTATTGATAGTTTTAAAATGTTTAACAAACATTTAAAATACATTGGTGGTTATTATTTTGTTTTAGAAAATTTTACATGATTTTTGAATTTTATTTGTTTTAAATTAATTGTTGAATTTTTATTTTATTTTTAATTCATCACTTCGTCTATGTTAGCCTATTAGTTGATTTGACTAATATAAAAAGTATTAATTTTAGTGTTTAACAGGAGAGAAGGGGGTAGTTGAGTTCGTGGCTAACATGAGAGAATGTTGTGCGTCATGACGGTAAAATACAGGCTGGAGTTATTGGTAAAGAAAAATAAAAACTAAAATTTGTGGACAAAAAATGATCGTATTTTTCACTTCAAAGAAACTTTTAACAAGATTTTTCGAAGTGCCCTCGATTTTATGAGTACTTTTGTAATTACCCCTTTATTAAATGCAAATTTTCACGTATGATAATGAGAAGAATAGATTTATTTATTCAGTGACAATCAAAGAAAAAGACCAACGAATAGATTTATTTATTTATTATTATTATTATTGGTGTGAAAGCGCCAATAGAGTTTTATGACTATTGGCTAGGGATAAGAACATAATTAAAATATAAACATGAACCTAAAATAATGGTATTAAATATGGAAAAATCAACAAAAAAATGTAACAAATAAATAATCAGATTAGAAAATACAATAGAAATAGCAAAGGTCCGTTTGATTGCAAGAGTGGAATTTGGATGGAAAGAAAATGAATTTCAGATAATTGAATTGTTTAGAACTTGTTCTCCAGGGAATTGTCAATTAGTTGTGTTTAATTGGTATAATTTCCCACCTGAAATATATTGAAAATTTGGATATTTTAATGTTCGTTTGACTTTATTTTTTATGAAAATTGTCTATTAAAGGGATAGAATTTGTTATAATTCCACTTAAAATATGTTTTCATTGCCACAAAAAAAAAAAAAAACCATTTTCCCCCAAATCTGTGACCTTATGGGAGGAAGTAGGGATTCCAATTGTCAAAAAAAAAAAAAAAGATG